AAGACGGCCGTAGTGATCGATGTAGCGGTTCCCAATGACAGCAATATCAGGAAGAAGGAACACGAGAAGCTGGAGAAATACCAAGGGCTCAGAGAAGAGCTCGAGAGGATGTGGAGGGTGAAGGTAACGGTGGGCCCCGTGGTAATCGGAGCACTAGGTGCGGTGACTCCCAAGCTAGGCGAGTGGCTCCAGCAGATCCCCGGGAACAACATCGGAGATCTCTGTCCAGAAGAGCGCAGTCCTGGGAACAGCTAAGATACTGCGCAGGACCCTCAAGCTCCCAGGCCTCTGGTAGAGGACCCGAGCTTGAAGGATAAACCGCCCGCAGGGGCGTGCTGGGTGTTTTTTTTTTTTTATACACATACATATATATATATATATATATATATATATATACATATACACATATACTAGGGGTGCAACAATACACAAAATTCACGGTTCGGTTCGGTTCGATACTTTGGTGTCACGGTTCGATATTTTTTCGATACAAAAAAAATGTTCATGCCTTTTTAATTTGTCATTTATTAAATTTTCACGGCACATTCCGCACCACATCTCTGTGCGTTCATCATTTGTTTGAAGCCAGCTCGCCTCCTGCAACTACTTTTCCGAGAATACGTGCTTCTTTTGTGGTTCGGACTCCTTCTGACATTACTTTGGAGGTGGAGGAACATCACAGTAATTGCTTAAAGGAGCTTGCTTCTTCGACATCTTTAAGAGTTCTAAACAAATGTCTGTCCTCCTCCTGAAAATCTTATGTATGCAAACACGCGTTGCAACTTCTTATCTTGTGCCCGTTTTTTATTTTGACAGCGAATGCGCACCTGCGGACCACTTATGTGCAGCCCTGGTTATTTCACTTGTCATATTGCAGCCACAGAAATTCTTTTGTCCATGAAACCATAAAGCTGCACTTTCTTTTTGCCTTATAGTCTGATTTGTCATAACTTTTCCGTTTTGTGGTAAGCTTTTCTTTGGCTGTCACTTCTTCACCCTGACCTGTCTTACTTGGCTCAGCAGAACTAAAATATTGTGGCGAGCTCAGACAAGGAGGAGACGGAGGTATCGTTTGGTCTCGCTTCCCGTGAGCTAGCCAGGGAGCACAGCCGTTTATTGACATCTGCAGAAGAACACTGCCACTAGCTAACTGCTCAGCGCGGCAACAGCACAGCAACAACAACAACAACACACAGGGCGCCCTCTGACCCCGGAAGGACACACCGTCGCAGCGAGAGGGCGTCACCCGTCACTATGGCAACATAAACAAAACATAACTGTACAAACAGAACCCCGAACAGCCCTGACCCGCTACATAGCCCCCACCTAAGGGGTCAGTCGTCCCCGACGACCCCATTACCCCACACAAAGTCCTGCAAATGTCCAGGTGCCTTCTTTTGGCGCACCGGCCGGTCACGACCGGAGGGGGGGAAAGTCACTCGGGTCAGAACATGGGATGCCACCATCATCCCACTTCTGACACCAATGTGGCGAGCTCAGACAAGGAGGAGACGGAGGTATCGTTTGGTCTTGCTTCCCGTGAGCTAGCCAGGGAGCACAGCCGTTTATTGACATCTGCAGAAGAACACTGCCGCTAGCTAACTGCTCAGCGCGGCAACAGCACAGCAACAACAACAACATCACACAGGGCGCCCTCTGACCCCGGAAGGACACACTGTCGCAGTGAGAGGGCGTCACTCGTCACTATAGCAACATAAACAAAACATAACTGTACAAACAGAACCCCGAACAGCCCTGACCCGCTACATAGCCCCCACCTAAGGGGTCAGTCGTCCCCGACGACCCCATTGCCCCACACAAAGTCCTGCAAATGTCCAGGTGCCTTCTTTTGGCGCACCGGCCGATCATGACCGGCGGGGGAAAAGTTACTCGGGTCAGAACATGGGGTGCCACCATCATCCCACTTCTGACACCAATGTGGCGAGCTCAGACAAGGAGGAGACGGAGGTATCGTTTGGTCTTGCTTCCCGTGAGCTAGCCAGGGAGCACAGCCGTTTATTGACATCTGCAGAAGAACACTGCCGCTAGCTAACTGCTCAGCGCGGCAACCGCACAGCAACAACAACAACAACACACAGGGCGCACTCTGACCCCGGAAGGACACACCGTCGCAGCGAGAGGGCGTCACCCGTCACTATGGCAACATAAACAAAACATAACTGTAAAAACAGAACCCCGAACAGCCCTGACCCGCTACAATATATATCCTGCTGCTTTTACACACGCACTCACATAATGCTCAGCGATTCTCTGCGCGATCAACCTCTCACATGTTTAAGCTTGCTGCGGGAGATTTCACTTGTCATGTTTGCATAGTAAGCTAACGATTGATAAGACGATGTCAGAGGAATTGGTGCGCAAATTGTCATCACTCACCAATACACAGTTCGCGCGATTGCAAAGTGAAAGCAAAAAACAAGCGCAAATTCAAACGCAATTTCAATATGTCACATATTAGCAGTGGCTCACCGATGCCAATGACATAATTAGCCAGCTACATTTCCGAAAGAATGCAAAACCATTGACATATATTTTTCCTTCCTACGATAGCCCGACGGGCAGGGCAGAGATAGATTTTGGTAGCCCGACTGGAAAAATTGCTAGCCCCGGGACGTCGGGCAGGCGATTTTGCGAGCCCTGTATCTGATTGAGGAATCACTCATCTTTGGAAAAGAGAGTTTATTACAGAGAAATGGCTCTTTCCAAAATAAAAGCTATACTATACGCTTCTTCTGGGCTATATTCTCAGCAGCATATTAAACATATCAGGTCCCCATAAGAAGAATCATGTGCTAACGGCTGTCTAAATGACTCGGGTAAAGTTTGTAGCATGCGTGCTTGTTGTTTTTGTCTGCTTCCACTTGTCTTTGCACTAGGATGATGTCGGTGTAAATGTGCAGTCATATTTGTTGTGTTCCCACTAGTGCTGTCAGCGTAAATCTCGTTGAAATGACGTTGGCAAATCTCCGTTAACGAGCTACCACGGATCGCCCGTGCATGGGGCTGGACGGCCAACACGTTAACGAGCTAACTGCGCTAACACACTAGCTCCCACCCATGTAATTGAGCTTTGCGTGGCACATCCAACATACTGTTTTACTTTAGTCCATGACGCGCTTACCTTCAGGGTCATACCTCACATGAAAACCAAAATAGTTCCAAACGCCAGATCTAAATGAGGGTGGGGGAGGTTCAATTTGCCATGTTGCAAGAAGAGCTTAACTTCTGTCTCGCTAGCTTGCCCTGCGCTCAGTGAATCTGCGTTCGACTACTCCACCTAGGCTGCACTGTCGAGCGCAGATCCACTGAGCGCTCAACACAGACAGCATTGTCAGAAGGAAAGTTGATAAAATAATTTAAAATTTTATTTTGTATTGTTCGATACATATGGGTACCGAACCGAAAGCACTGTATCGAACGGTTCAATATCGATACGAATATCGTTGCACCCCTAACATATACATATACACATATACCTATATATATATATATATATACACTCAACAAAAATATAAACGCAACACCTTTGTTACTGCTCCCATTCCCCATGGGATGGACGTAGAGACCTAAAATTCATTCCAGATACACAATATAACCATCCCTCCCAAACAGTGGTCACAAATCAGTCCAAATGTGTGGTAGTGGGCACATCTGCCATATTGAGATAATCCATCCCACCTCACAGGTGTGCCACATCAGGATGCTGATCTGACATCATGAGTAGTGCACAGGTGTACCTCAGACTGCCCACAACAAAAGGCCACCCTGGAATGTGCAGTTTTTTGCGCTATTGGGGGTCTGGGGACCCAGAACCGGTCAGTATCTGGTGTGACCACCATTTGCCTCATGCAGTGCAACACATCGTCGCATGGAGTCTATCAGATTGTCAATTGTGGCCTGTGGAATGTTGGTCCACTCCACTTCAATGGCTGTGCGAGGTTGTTGGATATTCGTGGGAACTGGTACACGCTGTCGTATACGCCGGTCAAGCACATCCCGAACATGCTCAATGGGTGACATGTCCGGTGAGTATGCTGGCCATGCAACAACTGGGACATTCTCAGCTGCCATCTGCCCTGAACAATGTGAACCATGATTCATCCGTGAAGCGCACACCTCTCCAACGTGCCAGACGCCATCGAATGTGAGCATTTGCCCACACAAGTCTGTTACGGCGACGAGCTGGAGTCAGGTCAAGACCCCGATGAGGACAACGGGCATGTAGTTGAGCGTCCCTGAGACGGTTTCTGACAGTTTGTGCAGAAATTGTTTGGTTGTGCAAACCAATTGTTCCAGCAGCTGTCTGGGTGGCTGGTCTCAGACAATCTTGGAGGTGAACCTGCTGGATGTGGAGGTCCTGGGCTGGTGTGGTTACACGAGGTCTGCGGTTGTGAGGCCGGTTGGATGTGCTGCCATATTCTCTGAAACGCCTGTGGAGACGGCTTATGGTTGAGAAATGAACATTCAATGCACGGGCGACAGATCTGGTTGACATTCCTGCTGTCAGCATGCCAATTGCACGCTCCCTCATTGCTTGTGGCATCTGTGGCATTTTGCTGTGAGACATGGGGAATGGGAGCAGTAACAAAGGTGTTGCGTTTATATTTTTGTTGAGTGTAGAATAGACTGCATAAAATAGTTCACCTTGGTTAATTTTTTCTCTTAAATGCTACAAGATAAAATAAGCTTAATTTGTCATTTTATATCTTTACTTATCTTGTAGTCTTAAGAGCGTCAGCAACATTAGGTGTATTTTTATTAAATGTAACCCAGCTGTTCGACTAGCCCAAGCATACAAAATAGTATATTGATGTTTTGTGTCAACAATTAATGTTCATCCTTCATAAATTAACCAAATACCTTTACTATTCAGATGTTAAAAGATGTGACCTGACTTTACCTTACAACAGGGAGCAGTCTCTGATTCCCTTGGAATGATGTCTGATCTTTCTGTCAGAAGCGGCCATACCATGGTCTCCTTAAGCCATTTCCTCAGCTGCTTGACTTGACGGCTTGTTCGTGTTATGACCTACAACAGTGAGACCAAACCAAAACTGAAGTGTGAGTCCATAAAGTAAAAGACACTTTAAATGTTAAATACTTAAAGAACATCCACTGTACTGATAAAGCATTTCAAATGGCCTCCAAAGAGATTTTTTTAATGTATATGAAAAATGTACTTATTCACATCCAAAGGTTTGATTTGCTTTTCTATTTAAAATTTACATTTATTGGGGAGAGTAAGTCCGTACTCACAGCGTGGAATAGCAGACGTTCATACAGCCACTTTCTATTGGTTTGTGTGACACCTGGCAGGTCCCAAGCCAGGGCTAGCTCGAGAACATTTCTTCGTTCCAGTTCTGTTAATTCAGCAGTGCCATCAAGCTAAGACAGAGGGAAAAAAATTAGTCAGTAGTAGGTACTGATGGCTATTCAATCTTGTCTCTAAATTTAATATTTAGTGAAATAGTAATTCTTTAAAATAATGGTACAAAAATGCAAACCAGCTGAATAGTGCTGCGGATATCAATATCAGGGCAATCCTCAATCTGAACTGTAGCTGTTTCAGGTGAGCCACCAAAAAGGACATGGATGATTGCAGGACTTATACCAGACACACACGGTCCACCATGAATGAATGAATGTCCCATTATTCTTCCTAAGATCAAACATAATAAATTCACTTAGCCTAACATTGCATGGGGGTAAAGACAAACAGTTTTGTAACTGTATTCAATCTAGTTTTCATCTTTATGGTTACAGTTAGGATAATGTAACACAAGTAATGCTTTTTACTTTAGTGCTGCACATGAATTATTTTAAATTACTATTCCTCTTATTTCTGTACATAACTTTCTTACCTGCCACCAAAAACATGTCACTCTCAAGCAAGGTCTGAGAAGTGGACGGAGTCAAGTGTTCTGGCTCACCGTCAAACAGTCTTGTAAGATCTGTGTTCCCTGAAAAGAGTACATCTAGGTTATGGTGAGTATGAGAAATCCAGGCAGTAATTTTAACACAATTAACTCATTTACATAACAAATACATTTTCTTTACATGAATAAATATTCTCTTATTTAATCCACTATACATGTGCCCAGTCTAGTTTCATACATACCAAAATTCAAATGCAAACCAGACTGTACTAGAGAAACTGCCTTTGAGAAGAAGAATCTCTTCACCCCTTCTCCAACAGCAACATCCCCTAAAAGTAAGAAGAAGAAAAAAACTTGTGAAGTTTCGGATTAGTCAGTCACTGGATTTCTAATGTTTTCACAATACAGAAAAAATACCTTCCAGTTTGCAGCTGACAGGGCCCGCCCACTCTACCTTTGGAGCTTTGTAGAGGGAGATAAGTGATGTCTGTTGATCCACAATACTTTCCCGCAAGTCCATTTGCAGGACTACTGCCTTTCTGGTCTCATACTTTGAAAGTAACTTGGACTTGTAGAGCCAGGCTGCTCTGGTTGCATCTTGTTCACATTTCCACTCTGAAAGGTACACATTTGTATGGATCACATGAATCAAAAGAAATAAAATATATGTATTTTTTGCCATTTGTCTGGTATCTTCCTAACTTAATTCCTGTCACTACCTGGTTTTTCCCATAGAAGTGACTTTTCCTCATCTTGATGAGATGCATCTTCCTGCACTACCACCATATCACCTGACGATTGCTCTGCTCTTGCTGAGGTTATGGTGGATTCCAAGATGATACTATCTGGTTCCTCTACCCCGCAGGACAGATTCCAGGCATCACTGTTGCTACAGGATGGGACCTCTGACCTTGCTGTTGTACTACGAGTGTGCCTAGCCTGACTTTCAGTAACAGACTGAGGTTCAGCACCACTCAATGAACTGTGAGAGGGATTGGCAGAGATTTCAGCATCCATCACCAATATATACAAAGTGGACTTACTTAGTTTCCACACTATATACTAAAATATATAGAAAATCAAAGATGTTCCTTACCTTGTGCATTTAGTGATGTGGTTTTTCATTTTATTTAAAGGAATGTTAATGTCACAATTCAGGCATTTTGTGGGGGGTCCTTGTTGCTGGAGGGTTGTCAGGCTCTACAGAGAATATGGAGATAAAAATATATATATACAATTGGTGCATACTGTGATAAAAGATATTTTGACAGTTCTGCAATCGCATTTGCCAATGTGAGAAGCAGAAACAAATTGTAAACACTAGTGATGTGCGATACCACTGATTTCCTTTCCGATCCGATACCAAGTAAAATTCAGGGTGGTATCAGCGATACTGATCCGATACCGATACTCTGTACAAAAACGTAATGTTTCATTGCATTTCATAATACAATATATAATTGTATTATGTAATTGTAATAATAACATAACCATATTGCTTCATAATGATTAGAGGACATCAGACAACTTGTTTTTATTGCTTAATAATGCAGAATAATCATATAGAAATAAAAAAAACTGACGTTGTGCGCCATTTGAACATGTTGCCTGCCTGCAGCACTAAAGGACTCTGCGAGAGATGTCTGTCTCGCCCTAGCAGCACCTGTCCCTGTCCTCCTCTTCAGTTCGCCTCAACATAAGCTTATCATATTCTGTGATGTGATTTACTCCGAGGTGTTTGATGAGGTCAGTGGTGTTGCCACAACAACGTGTCCACACAGGACTCTGTTTGCGCTCAGCCATTGTTGTGAGTGTGCACGCCAGGGGCTGCAACACATTTATACAGCCGTATTTCGCATATGACTATGAAAGGCGTAAGAGGAAGTAGTTCCTTCCAAATTAGACGATCCGAATTGTATAGTTTCTTTCCACTGCGTTCATTTGAATAGAAAAACTACAAATTTACCCCAGAGTACTAAAATATCGATATTATAATATGAGAATCGATTCTAGAACATAAATTGCTGGTATCGGAAGAATCGATATTTCAGTATCGATCCGCACACCACTAGTAAACACAAAATTACATATCTCCTTCTAAACCTTTTCTAACAATTGCTTACATACACATTCAGAACCATTATTACTCATATGCAGTCATGTTTCTAACCAGCCGACAGCTAAAGCTGATTTGACACATAGTTGAGCTTAGCTAGCCATTTGAACTAGTTTATTAATACATGCAAATAACATATTCTGACCCTAATCATTACTCACGTCTTCCAAATCAATACTTTTCTGCAGTGGCCTTATATAGATCAAAGCTTGTCCAATTCCACTCAATGGACTGCGGAGATATCGCACTGTATATCCAGTGTCTGGGCTTGGGATTGTGCACAGGTTACGGCTTCATGTTGTACCCGAGATTCTCAGCAGTTCAAACCCTCCTGTGTCTTTCAGCTGAGGGAAGGTATCCTCAATCTTTGCCTTGACCACTTCTGGGTCATCATCCCTTCCTGTAAAACACATTACTTGCTGTACATTACTACAAAAATGGTACATATAAGAGTAAAAATGTAGTTAAACTGAATCTTGAAATATTAACAAATGACATGTAGCATCACCTTGGAATGAAATCCGTTTCTCTCCAAGTCCAGCTGCTGCTAGGTCAAATTTGACTGCTTTAGCTGGCACTGTGTCTGACATATGATCATGTAACCAGAAGAAGGTGTGTGTGTAAATGGAGCGGCATGCTTTCTTGGAAGAATGCGAGGTCAGAGATGAAAGTGGCGCTGAGGAAGGCCTCACTCTGTAAGGGGCAAACAGTCTTGCGACTTCAGCTTTAAAAAGGGAAAACCAATATTATAGAAAACATTCTAAAAGCTTAGATTAATTGCTACTTAATTTGCAAGTATTATACCCGCTTACAAAATCACTACATTGAACTAGAATTGCTTTATTTTCATTCACATAGATTACTTGACTTCCATATTAGCAGAGAAAATAAGACACTTTAAAACGTCATGATTTAACTATTACCTACAACAATGTAAATAGTGATACAGACATTAACCCAGAAGACGATTATCTTCTCTTACCTAATTTATTAAGTTCTTTGCTATGATAAAAACAGTATAAAATATTTGTGACTGAACTGATTAAAAAGCTCATTTTTTGGCAGACAGACTAACCAAGCAGTAACATCGTTACTTACCCTGAACAGCGTTTCTCGGAGTGGAGCTAGCTGTGATAGCGTTAGCGTTTGCTAACGTTAACATTGTGCTGTTTTGATGAGAACTTGGACCAGGGACCGCTTCATCTCCAGTATGCTGCTGCAACACTCTCTCAGACTGAGGTGAAGACGTACAATCTAAGCAGTTAGCAACTTCTCTGAGTAACTCAGAAACGGACTTGTTTCCTGCAGCCATGCCCTTCACAAGAATTGATACACCTGTAACGTTATTCGCGCCCAGTGTTTTGCATTTGTCGGTGCCTTAAGTTTATCTTGAGCTGCATACTGCCGCCAGCTGCATAGGAGACGCATTGCACCATTAAACCTAAATCGACAATTCATGTGCTATTACTTATGTCTGAGTAACAGTGGCGTGTCTAGAAAATTTTTGTTGGGGGGGCCAGGTAGGGGCACAGATTTGGAGAAGGGTGGCAGATTTAATTGGCAGATAATGTTTAAAAAAAAATTCTACCAACCCTTAACCATAATTCAATAATCCTGTAAACCTAATAACCAAATGCACTTTTAACTCTTATTAGAATGAGATTTTAACCACTACGGTGCAAAGTTTTTAGATACTGCGTTGATAAAGTACAAGAGATACAATCAGTGCTTTGTCAGTGTTTACTCAGCATTCAAGGACAGCAATATTTGCATAGTATTTTTACTGACATATACTGCACATATGTTTTGGGCAAAAACATTTTTGAATATTAAAATACGAACATTTGTAGCAAACAATTGACAAATTAGCCAGTTCCAATGTAAAACTTTCTCTGCCTGTTAAAAAAAGAAGATAATCTTCTCACAAACTGGTGTTTGATTTTGAAACAGGAAAAAAGTGGAGAAACAACTGAAAAGACTAATATTTGAATAAAACCTGAAAGCAAGTAAATACTTTCTATGCTGCCTTATGGTAAACTTTGGTAATATTGATAAAGAACAACACTGGCTGATGATGAAATACAGTCAGCTGGCATGGTGACACTGCCAGTATAACCTGCAGGGCTGGACTGGGACAGAAAATCGGGCATTTTGACTACAGACCGGCCCACCAGGTATTAAAGCCATAAAGCCTTTGAATGAAAACAAACCCTGTTGTGACAGTGATGTACAGTCTTTTTGGTATATGTATGATTTCTATACATTTTACGTCAGATAAAAACTTTGGTTGTAAGATTTAGATAATTATTTAATAAAAGCTAGATATTTTAAATGAGAATAGGAAAGAAAAGTATTTCTTTGTGCCCCCTTTCCCTGTTAATGCCCTACCTGGCCCCCTGGCAAAACTTTGCTAGACCCGCCCCTGCACAGTTACCAGCTGTCAGCTACATAAAAAAGGATCCTGGTGGGTGGTCTTCACGTTTCCCTCTCACCAGATATCCAAACCGACATCATGACCAGCAGCTTTACAGCTGTGGCTCCAGCAAACATCAGCTGATACTAGAAATTAATATTAAATAAATTCTAACAACAGCCGATCAAGCTTAAACGTGCTGCTGTTGTTTAGCGCAACATCTGCTGGTTTCGTCTTTCTGGCGCAAAGTGGGCGATAAACAAACAAGAGAGAAAAGCCGATCAGCTGATCATCGATCAGTTTCATGATTGAAGTAGCAACAGGAGAGGCAGGATGAGAGAAGAGGCAGCTGTGCAGCGTAAAGACAGAATAAATCCAGCTTTGTGTCTTTTTCCATTCTAGCTGAAGTTCGGGACAAACTGCGTCTCTTCTCAGCTCAATACGAAACGTGTAATATTTTCTCTGATTGAGGGACCATTCCATTTTTTTAAGGAGCCGTTGGCAACTCTACTAACTAACCTTATGAATAAAATAAAGTTCACTATCAGTAACATCATAGCAACCGAACAGCTGTATAAAAACTCCAAGCTGGCTAGAACGCAGTATGAGTTATTGCAACTGACAGTAAAAAGTCAGCACAACGAAAATAAACTCCACCTAAACTTAGTTCATATCTGACCCAGATAGACTGCAGGTCATAACTTCTTACCTGAAGTTCAGTTCACCTGACACTCGGACTGGCGGCTGCCTCGGGGCTCTCCTCCTGCCTCCCCTTCCCTCATCCACCTGCTGCCTCTGTGGAAGCCCCGCCATAGCCACCACCAAACAACGGAGTTATTTCTACACATCGACCTGCATCTGGCCAATCCACCACCTCTCATTGTTCATGCCGTTACAAAAAAAATAAAAAATAAGTCAAATAAGCCCGATGGCCAGTCCAGCTATGTTAACCTGCAACCAAATCTGCAGCTCCATACAGCAATGTTACGACTTAGATTACATCTTATAACTCATAACTCTTATGTTAGCTCCCCTCTGTAGCATACTGTCTGAAATATTCCACGGCTGCAATAATTCTTTAAGTGTTATTTTTTCCTTGGTATTCTAATTTCGCCGAAGTTTACTAAACTCAACAAACTTAATATTACTTACCAGGACATTTATTCTGTCCTCATTTTCTTTCACCGAAAAATTGTTTCCTGCAGTGACATCTTTCGTGCTTGGCTCTCCTACCTTTGCTAACGTGATGCACATAGCGCAGAAGCCGATGCTGCATTCACTTACACTCGGATATCTGAGCGTCACCGTGAAAACATAATCGGACATTTGATATTTGATTGAATTTTATTGTTTTGCCTTTGGGGTGGCACCTGGGGTGGCCAGTCTGGTTGGGGGGGTGGCCTGTGCCCCCCCAGGCCACCCCGCTGGACACGCCATTGCTGAGTAAAGGAGCAACCAATCACACAAGTGGCTCCGCCCTGTCTCTCTTGATTGACAGACAAAGTCATTCTGCTGAAAAGTCGCATTATGAAATAAATTGACCATCGGGAAAAACGGGATTTTGAAATAAACACTGACTTTGAAAAAAGGTCATTTTGGAATAAAAACGGCTGGAAATAAATAAAATGCCTCAGGAATAATCTCTTTCATTGTGAAAAATAAAGACCATGAAATAATATTTCACAATTATAAGTAAATTTATATAGCAGAATGCAATATATTTCACAATAATGAGCAGTTTTTTTCAAAATGTGTTCCATTATTTCACAATATCATTCTCACATTAGATATATGTGTCTTATTTATTCACATAGTTATTTATTTCATCATGACTTATTTATTTAATTTTGAACACTTTGGAGTTCCATACCCAAGGAGTTCTGATGTTCATTTCTTGATTCACAGGTCCTTATCTCTCCTCCTCTGTCCCTCCGCCCACGCTGCACAGGGTTGTAGTTCCAGGCTGCCCATAAGATTTAGTGGATGTGTTTGAAAATGTCGGACCAAGGACGTTATTCAATCTGTCTTACCCAATGCGGTATATATGTTGTTTTAACCTGTCTACATTAGTCTAGCCTGTTTCTCCCTTAAACATCAGAGAGCACCTTTTGCAGATGATAGAATACACAACATAACTACTGTTAAGTGCAGTCTTCTCTGAGATTGGGGTTCTGGCTCCCTCGTGTGGCTCAAAAAAGGTATTGTCCTTATTTTAGAAGTAATGACATAAATCTTATTTCCTCTCATGCTGTTGTTCGCAATTCACTCCGCTTTGATAAACATAAATTTGAGTTTTTATTCTTTCTGTTGAACGTTGTAATTTTACAGTTTTAAGGCTTTTTAGATTATGGATTTAATTGTAATTGGTCACACCAATTTGCAAATATACACTGCGCCGTCACTTGTGTCCAGTGAATATTATCGTCGATCGTTACAAACTGGTCCCCAGATAGTGGGTTCAGGACCAAAAGCCGTTTTGCAGCAAAGTTATTGATGAGAGTTAGATTTCGTTGTTGTTCTATTGGAAGGGAAGATGAAAAATTAATTAATGGGAAGACTACCTTAGCATTCGGTAAGACAGATTTTGCTTTTTTGTAAAGCATTCTTAATTGTTTGATGGAAGTTTTTTCTGCATCCTGGTCCCTATTATTAATCCCTATTGACAATACTACTAGTTTGATGTTTGGATGGACCGACGTCTTTTCCAAAATCTGGAGAAAATGATAAAACGAGGCCCCTGTCGATTTGGATGTTGTCTAGAGGTTTAGGGTTAAGGGTCAAACCAATATAGGATTAAAAGTGGTTAGGGTTAGGATTGAACTCAGGGTTGGGCTTCAGGGATAAGGTTAAATCCAGCGCAGGGTTAGAACTGGTTAGGTTTAGGATAAACCTCATGGTCAGGGTGCTCCAGCAAATATATACAGAGACAGGTGGAATGACGGTAACAGCGATGATGATAATGATTATGACAAGCATAGCAACAACAAGACAGTAATAATCGACAAGTACGTACATTGTGTGGACTTTATGTCCTTTTAAAAACTTTTTTCATTCAACCCCTTAGGGTGTACAGTGTCTAATTTGGCAATCCAGACTTTTTCAGCCTTCCTCCTCTGCTGAGCTGTCCATCTGGGATTTGCCTGTGTCACTGTTGCTCTGACAGATTCCCAGCCATGT